ACTATATCAACTTTGCAATCTTTAATGAACTATTCAATTAAAAATAATATATAATATGTTAAATTTGTATATAGTATGTAGATGTAAATACATATTATGAAAAGTCATATTAATTGTATAAAAAACTAATTTAATAAACAGTAAAATTTTCTAAAGTAGAAAGTATAGTAATAAAGTAAATAAGTTTTTAATAATTGTATAAATTGTTTCAAACTTACTTGTGGTTTTGTTAGAAATAGTTTTGAGTCTTTTAGTTGAAAATTGCTGCGCTAAAAGTAATCTTGCCATTGGTTTGGGAATAGTATATGCTAACAATATTTGTTTTTCTTTACTCCTAGAGATATCAACCATTGGTTGATAAAATTAATAAGGACTTGTTGGTGGTGTTGTTTCAAAAACAATGTCAACATGGAAGGTTGTGAATCGATAGAAGACATTTCATTCCTTTACTTCAATAAATTGTCAATTTTTTGCATAGTACTTTCTATTTATGTAATTGCCACCTTACCTGTTGTTTGGAGTACAGATGATTCATACATATTTTTTGATAGTAAAACTTCTTACTAAAAAAGTTCATCCATTTGCTTCTCACCAAACTTCATGAAAAGTTATAGAGTTTGATCGATTTCAAAAGAGTCAACTTCCAATTTTTTCTTTAACTTTGAATCATCAAAGTCAAGTAATTTGTATGTAATAATTCCAGTCTTAATAGCTCTAGAAGACAGCAAAACATGTAAGGTTCTTATTTCATTTTTCAATAATTTGATTGGTCTTGAAAGCACCATCTTGTTCATTTGAAAGAGTTGCATCAACTATGTGAATGAGGTTCTAATCAATTCTTCTACTATTTTGCCAAATAGCATCAATGACATTTGTCCAGTTTCATCTTCAATCACAAATTGCACTTTAGGTCTGAATGACAAAAATATATGTTTATTATTATCTATCATATATGTAAATTTTTAAAAAATAGTATATTTTGTTTTCTGTTAAAGATAACTTACAACAAAAAAGAGATTTTTTCACCATGTTGCAAACACCAAAATTTTTTAGCACAAAATTACATGGTATTGACACATTCATTACATATATTATAAAACTAACCATCCGTTGGATTAATATCAACAATCTTAGCTTTTAGGACAAAGACTCTCTGTCAAATAAACAATTGAAAATTTTGATAAATATCAGCAAACGTATTTTTCTTATTTATGATTGCAAAGCCAAAATGGTATACGCAAACTTGTTTAAAAGTGTTCTCAGGAGAAAGATGTTGCTGTTGCAAAACTTGTATATGCACTGAATCAAGCTCATAATTGACAAACATGTACTATCAAATAAATACTATAATTAATAAATCTATATAACATTTACATAACATATCAATCAAAATAATCAGAAAGTTATAATTCTTAAATTACTATTCTCCCAATTGATTTATCTCTAGAATATCAAGATCCACATAAAATTTGATCACAGAATTATATGCCAAGTAAATTTTTCTTGCATACATAAATGAAACAGGAATAAAGAATATGATAAAAAAAAATAATACATGTGTTATTTGATATGAGTTACTTAAAGTAGATTTTAACAAAATAAAAAACCCATGTATTTTTTAACGATCATCCCAATAGAAATTATGATCCGATTTTTTGTTTCTTGAACAAAATCTTATTCTTTAATTTGAAGTGCCATGACACTATAAAGAACAATCTTTAATTGATGGCCACTGTTTTCAAACAGATGATATTATCAAAAACTAAATGACAATGAGTAATGAATACATTATTATACAAAAAAAATATAATAACAAATAGTAAAATATTTCAAATAGTGACAAACCTAATATTTTAAACATATATATCTCTTTAGATAACATTATCAAACTTATGGCTCAATCTAACTTATCTAACATGTCCAATAGATACCAACATCCTAATGAAATCTGTTTCTATAATAAGTTAATAAAGAATAGAAAGAAAATAAATTATTATAATTGTAAATGTTATATAAGAAAAAAAAAAAAACCTATCAAGTCTTTCATGACTAATTGTATCATTAAACTTGTCATATAAAACAAAGTTAAAGTAATATCGAGGATATGAAATCACATTCTCTTGTATTTCTTCAACTTGACTTGCTCTGGTTAGATAAATATTAAAAAATTTAAAAACAACGTTATAATTGTGCTTACAGTTTCTCAATTGGAATCATGTTATGGATTACAAAAAGCCCTCATTTAAGATTGTATCAAAAAAAGGTGCATCAAATCCTTTTATGTAGAAATGCATTGCATTTTCTTACAAAAAATGTTAGATTAAATCAAATGAAAGATATCCATTAATGCTAGAATAGCTGCAATTCTAACAGAATACAAAATATTTTTAATATTCCACTAACCTACGCATCTATTCCTATGAATTCAAAACTAAGAATGTTACTTGGTTCAATAAGATTAACACATTTCCAAAGTTTGAATATTTTGAATTTAACACCTTTTAAAGGTTTGAAAGGATCAAGTTCATTAAAAAATTGATAACTCGTCTTGTAAAATCTGAATACAAAATTAAGATTAGTTGAGATAAAGTATAATATTATGCATAGGAAAAACAAAAAAAAAAAAACCAAGAAAGAAAACATCAATTATAAAATTATAAAATAAATGAAACCGTATGCTCAATATTATTGAAAAATTGACAGCTCATGTTGCCAAATCAAAATGCAAAAATAAGAATAATTGAAAAAAACCACGACATTTCGTATAAAAGAAACAAAAAAGAAACGAAATAACAAAACATCAATCATAGAACATAAAGTAAATAAAATAGCATGTTCAACTTGTAAAGATAAGTCTAAAAAAAATCAATGACAAACAAAAACAATCATTGACTTAAATTTAAATTTTGAAAAACTTCCTTGAAAATAATATTTGTTGTTTCATCGCTTGCTATTCCATGCTCATCATGAATCAAAATCTTCAAATCTTTTCTAGATGTTACTTTTGAAAGAGTTACATATATTTGACTATGTATAAAAATAGGCTTAGGTAAGTAAAGATCAACAATATCTAATGTTTGTTCTTAACTTTTATTAATGGTCATTTCATAATATAATCTCACAGGAAATTGTTTTCTATTTAAAACAAAAAGCCATTTCTAATGTTTAACAATCAAAATAATTTTAGGAATAAAAACATTATCGACCAACATGAGTTCTTGATAATATTTTACTCTTGATGACTTTAGAAGCTAATTGTGTCACTAAAAGTTTAGTACCATTGCATAAACCTGAATATTGGTTTATGTTTCTCAAAAGCATAATTACAATACCACTTTTTAAACATAATTGATAGTTAAGAATACCAAGAAATTTTAAAGAGTTCAAAATCTCATTCTTAGTTTATCATATTTTATACTATAAACATCAAAATACTTTATATATATATATTTCTGGCATTCAGCTGAGCAAAGATTGTTGATCCAAAAAGATTGGGAGCAAGTTTTTAGATCATTATTTATGTTTTATAAATTTATAGAAAATCATATATTAAATAGTCACTATTAGGACCATATCTGTTATTGACACTATCTGTCAACTTTAGCTACCAATGTGTGGTTAAATTGAACATATTTGATTATAATACACTTTATATGTTTTTCTAAATATTTTCTTAAACACTTCTACACCCTCCATTATAGCTTAATAATTCATCTAACTATGGTGGAGTCTTTCTAAAAAAAAGTAGTCAATGAATCATTTCTTCACAACAAAGTGTAAACTTAGGATTTCGTGTTTGTTTTAAGATATCAATCCTTTCTTTATACCAAATGACAGCATCAAAACGAACAAATACACTTAGGGCCACCAAAACTAGAAGGTTCAAAACACGTTCCTTCAAAAAATATTTTAAATATCAGAGAAATGAAAGGAAAACAACAATTAAACTACTTATAAATAAAATACACAAAATGTAATAAAACTTACTTAAATGATTAGTTTGCCTTGTCTCCCTACCATAGACATTCAAATGTTTTACCTCTTTTAAAAAAACTATCATAGAATTACGATCACCTACGCAAATTGAAGAAAAAAGTCAAACTAAATATAAGTCAATCATTACTATAAATATCAATACATATAAAGATCGACATGTTAAATGAACATTACCAGTAGAAGTTGCTAGAGTCAATTCTAAATTTCAAGCACTTCCAGAAGAACTTGCAAAGCCATCATACTCCAATCCAAACTTTCTTTTCTTTGACACATAAGCAATTGAATCTTTCGCAATAATAGACTTGTATGTTTTAACTTCAATGGTTTGTAATTCTCCATTAACATCAATAGAGGAATGCAATAATACATGACACTGATATCCATTTTCTCCATTGGTAACAATAGGAAAATGTTCGGATACATGACTAACAGACTGTGAATCAAGGACTAAAACTAAAGATCTTGTTCTCCTAACATGACCAACAAATGCATTATTTTCATCTCCATTAATATTATCAAAACTAATATCACCATACTCTCTTCTATTATCAACAAATGCATTAATATTACACATTTCATTGAATTATTAATTAAACTTGAATATCTTCTTGTTCTAACCTCAAAGACACGTCTACCATGTTTAGATCCATCAACGTCAAACAAAAAAAAACCTACCCACATGAATATTTTGCTGTCTTCCCAATCTTACAGACCATAACTTTTCTAATCTTTTAATTATATTCTCCCTTTCTCTGCTGATAGAATCCATCACTAAATACAATAACTTAACACTTACAACTTTTAACTAATATAGACACAAAATATCCTCAACTAACGAAATCAAAAACAATAAAAAAGAACGAAACCCAAAATTAACAATTATCATTTCATACTACATTCATAATCAACCAATACACAAAAAAAAAGACAAAACAAATAAACCAAATAAATAAAATCACACACAAAGAAAAAAAAAAAACAAAACAATCCAACTTAAAAGTTACCTCATACTTAAACAACGTAATAGCTTGAACTCAACCTGTAAAAAAATAGCACCTTATAATTAAAAACAATGAAAACAAATCAAATAACAAATTAACTACATAATTGAAAACAAAGATAAAAACACAAAGATGTTTTGATAACTTTTACCTCTACACACATAAATAAATAGATTGATTAATAAATGTCATAATTTAATTATGAATTATCTAAAAAAATTTACACTGATTACACTTTTAATTTTAACTAAAATTCATTCATATAAACTTGACTATTGCATTTTTAAAATACATCCTCAACTTTTATACTTCCTAGTCAAATTCTAGACAACTCCTAAAAGCGAGCTAGGATTCATAAAACTATTCGTAAAATTTAAATCATAAGAAGATATCAATTTTTCTGCCATTTATTTTATCTTACTTAAATGTCAATCTCAGCCACCAAATCCTATCACCTTTTTTTAATTTATAGATCATTACACTTACAAATGAATGAAAACCTCAAACCATGTAAATAACATCTAATAGTAGAACATCACGGAATAAAGTAAAAACAAAGTTGTTGGTAGATACTTCTATTTTAAATCTACCACAAAATAAAGAAAAGAAACTCTTTTTCATAAATCTTATATACCACAGAACAACAAAAAATAACTGTAGACATCAACCATATCAAAAATAGAATAATTAACCCAAAACTCCAACACTCCAAATACACCTATCATGGTCCTCAACGTTATATCATAAAAACTACTTACTGTCTGCATGACTTTAAACTTATCATCTAACAATTGATTTGTTTCTATTTAGAGTCATACAAAATGTACAATTACATGGAGAAAACAGGCATTTACAAACGTTTGGGAACTAATAAAATATACCACATTATCAAATTTAATAATAACAAAAAAATTCTCAAGTTCAGACTAAGCAAGCTATATTTTGCTCAAACCTACATTTAAACAACTTTAAAAACAACTACATATAACTCAGTCTAACAACGACATTAGGCATCCTAAGGAAAATGTATAAACTTTGATATTTTTAATACTTTTCAAGATAACTATATATAGCTATATATCAAATGTAAACTCTGATTTTTTTTCCTTCTTTTTCATAAATCTTATATGGCAAACACCAAATAAAAATAGCTATACACATCAACCATACTAAAAACAAAAAAATGAACTCAAAATTCCAAGTACAACCATAATGGCCCGTAATATCGCATAAGAAAAAACTGCATTCTTTTTGCATCATATTCAGTTTAAAATTGTATAAAACTCACATTCAAAGTTGAAGATTTTATCTTCTTACCATTTATTTTATCTTACTTAAATGTCAATTTCAACTACCGAATCACATCCTCTCTTTTTACCTAATAGATCATTACATTTACAAATGAATGAAAATCTCAAACCATGTAAGTAACCTCTAACAGTATAGCATGACAAAACAAAGGTTACTTTGGAGATCGTTACACTTACAAATAAATGAAAACCTCAGACCATGTAAATAACCTCTAATAGTATAACATGACAAAACAAAGTTGTTAGTAAATACTTCTATATTAAATTTAACACTAAACAAAAAAAAGAAAAGTCTTTTTCATAAATCTTATATGCCACAGAATAACTAAAAATAACTATAGACATCAACCATATTAAAAACAGAATAGCCAACTCAAAACTCCAGATACACTCATCATAGTCCTCACCATAACATCACAAAAACCACTTGGCGCCTACATCACTTTAAACTTACGATTTAGAAGGCAATTCTTTACTATTTATAGTCATACAAAATGCACAATTACATGGAGAAAACTCACATTTACAAATGTCTAAAAACTAATAAAATATACCACATTAACAAGTTCAATACTAATAAAAAATTTTCAGGTTTAGACTAATTAACCCATCTCTTGCTCAAACCCATATTCAAATAACGTTGAAAACAACTAAATATAACTCAGTTTAACAACAACATGAGGCATCCTACGAAAAAAGTATAAACTTTGATATTTTGACACTTTTCAAGACAACTATATATAACTTACTTTCAATACAAAAGTGTAAACTTTGAAAGGATTATCATTAACTAACAAATTTTAGTTAGAATGGGATGATGATCCTATATAACTTTGTCTAACTTCTTGGTTGTAACTTAAAAAACTATTATACATTATCTTTTATCCATCCCTAGCTTTCTTATCCATTTCTTATCTGTTGTAGGGAGTTATTAATTTTCTTATACTTTGATGAACTTGGCTGGTAATGGTCTAGCAACTTCTTGCCAGATCATCTAGGTGATACTTAAGTGAAAATAAAGAATTATGCTTCTGGTGTCATGAATATGATACGGGTGAAGGTACAAAATAATAATTTTTCCATCAAGGATGAAAAGATTGTTGAAAGCCTCCAAAGGAATTGTAGGACTAACTTGATTCTCTTATCAGAGGATGATACAAGTATAAGTCATACAGAATTGATAATTTCTCCAATGAGGTTGGTACCTGTTTGATTAATACATCTATTCTACCTTTAGCTATTTGCTTTATATTTATTAATGTCTGATTTTTTATATTTTGTGATCGTTTTATGTATCAGATACTAACATGTTATTCGTATTTAGATCAATTAGTAATGACAGACTAAGTGAACAAAATATTTAATCTATGTGTCTCCGCTAGTGCTATGCACATGCCAACTTTGCTAAGCCATGTTCAATTTGCTAAATTGCATTCTTTGGTTATATGCTATTAGACCATTTCTTCACAAGATTTTTTATTTTATTTTATTTTGTATTTTGCTTTTCTTGATTAATTATATACATAAACCATATTAAAAACAGAACAATGAACTCAAAATTCCTAATACACCCATAATGGTCCACAATATCACATAACAAAAATTGTTTCCCTTTGCATCATATTCAGCTTAAAATCATACCAAATTCACATCCAAAGTTAATGATTTTAAATAGTATATATCAAACTTTTATACTTCCTAGTTAAACCCTAAACAACTCCTAATATGGTCAAAATCTAATAGTCAGCTCCTTTCTATTTAAAATCATGCAAAATGTATCCAAAGTAAAAAACAGAGTTTAACAAAAAAAAAAAAAAAAAAGAACCCCAGCAATCAACCTATCCCTTAATGAAACTCACATTCAAAGTATTATCAAGACAATTATATATAACTTACTTTAACAACAACATGATGAATACACTTGTCAATAGAAACACGTTAAGAAAGGGAAAAAAAAAGTCAGCACCAAAACAAATGCACCTGTCAACAAAAACATTTTAAAAAAGAAAAAATAACAGTTATGATAACCACAATTCTCAGTAGATAACAACTTAACAAACTCAAATATACAAAAAATAAAACAAAACAACACATAAAATAATTCATATAACCTGAAAATTGAACATCCAAAAAACTTCAATAAACCTTGAGACAAAAAAAAAAGGGAAATCAATCAAATACAAAATCATATCTTCATTAAAATAACATATAAAACAAAATCTGAATTTGAAAATAGAAAAAAATTACAACAGCAATAAAAAGAAGTATCGTCAAAGAAAATAACAACTAAAAACTCATTTTCATCTAATATCAGAACATGCAAAAACAAAACCTTCTAAAAAAAACATATTTACAACATATAAACCTCTTGACCACAAAATCTAAATCTCATTCAACAATCAAACTCCATTGAACAAAATTAAAATTTGTAACACCAAAATCATCACAACAAAACTAAAAAAAAAATCACATGCAATCAAACAATAAATGAAAACAAAATTTTGTGCCCAAAAACAGTTGAAAAAAAAAAGGAATAACAAAAGAAAAATGAAAGGAAAAACTCACATAGCAAAGAAGCATGTCTTTGGCACCACAATAGCTCTCTTTCAACCAGAAATAGAAACAAAAAAAAAAAATTCAAAAATAGAGAGAAACTACACTGTCAATTAAAAAGTGCAAAAAAAAAGACACCTTCAAAGAAAGTTCTTTATCTTCCAACAGATCAAACATAAAAGAGTAATAAAAGAATCAAAAAAAATAAAAAAAAAACCCTACTTTCAGTCATAATGCAGCTACCATAAAAGAGAAAAAAAAAAAAAAAAAACCCTCGTGCCAAACTTAGATCCCTTAAAGGATACTTTTTATATAAGATTATATTGATATATTAATATGATTTATCTAATTTGTAAATGAGAATTCTAATTAATATGTTTTATGATAGATATTAATCTTAATATTATTCAATTTATAAATAAAAATTTTAATTACATTGAATGACTTTCACTAAAAATATTTTTCTTAACGCTAGTAGTATTAAATAATTTATAGATCAATATTACAAAACTTCAATTATTTTATATTTCTTTAAGCTTTAGAAATATTTTTATTTAGTATAATTATTATTTTAAAATAAATATTAACATGTAATGTATAGCGTCTTATAAATAGAGAGAAGTTGAAATGTACAAGTGCAACATATAAGAAAAGCTATCGAGTTTACGATGCTAGTAAACAACTATTCTTGTCTCTCAAATGTATATAATTCATTGTAAAAGTGTTGATGTATCAATCAGGCTGGGTCAATTGTCACTTTGGAAGTCTTGCACAAGGTCCAAATAAGTTTGATATTATTCAAAATAATAGAAAAAATTAAAATTTGTATTTTATATTAACATTTTAATATTTTTAAATAGATTGTAAAATTAAATTTATATAAAAATAATTTTTACTACTAAAATAAGAATTCGAATTAAGTTAAGCTGGAATTTAAAAATCTCTTTTAAAATCTTACACAAGTAAAGCTTAATTTGAAATTTAATAAACAACTTGACTTATGGATAGATTTAATTCATTGATCAATTACTTTTATTTCTGTTTGAGCTATTACTTCAGTGTTCGTTTGAAACAATTCATAATTGTTTTCAATATGCAAGTCAAAAATATTGGAATTAAAAGTTATGATTGTTTAAAATGGTTTTTTTTTTTTTTTTTAAATTTTGTAGCTCAATGCTAGCGGAGGAACCACGAAAGTTATAGAAAATTGTTCAGTTCTGGGATTATTCCTATAGTTTAAGCTAATTTCACATACCCCTGTTAAAAAATATGGGATTGGTGGGATTTTAATATGCTTTTATCCAGGTTAAAAATCCATTACAAGAGACTATAGCTAGATAATTACCAATTTATTATTGATTATATGAGTTGTATTTTACTATTAATTTTTTTGTCTGAAACTCTCTAATATCCGGTAGTCATTTTGAGCTCCAACTAATCCAAAATCAAGCCAAATCAGATCCCATAAGAAAAGCAAACTCTCATAAGTTTATTTTCTCCATTCACAAGACTCAAAATCGAAATCTTACTTAAAGATAACTGAGCTCTTTGCCACTAGAACCACTAGATGTTAATATATTTTACTATATTAATTGCATGGATAAGTTACAGTGTTGTGCCGCTCACCGATCTAATGGCTGGCAGGTCATAAAATTCGCTACAGTTTAGGATCGATCGTGGATCATCTTAGGATGACGGCTTGGGACATAAACTTTTTAAGATCAATATTATTAGGATGGTCTACAGTTCTAAATATTTATTCATCCCTTTTTGACCGAAAATTTGAATCCTTGTATTGATTTTTGGTCCGATTATAAACTCGTGAATTTTAAAAATATATATTAAATTATATTACTTGAAATGAAAATTATTTTTATTTTAGTATATAACTTAATTTTTGTCATTTTTAAGTATCCTACTAATTTTCGTGTTAATTTATTTTCTCATATCATAAATCAATAAAAATGTACATTATAATTTTTGAGCTTAAAGATTTTTTTTTTATAAACTTATAGATGTTTTGTGATTCGAACTTTAAAATATTGAGTTTTAATATAAATTGTAATATTATTTTGGTGAATTTGGAATATATCATTATAATTTTTATTTATGATATTAAGAAATTATTATTTAATTATATATTTTGAAAATTTTAAGACCAATTCTAGACTGTATCAAATTAAGAATCTAATTGAATCGAGTCGAACTGATATAACAAGATACTTAAGTTCAAGTTCGACTTGAAAATTGAAGCTCAAAGCTCAACTCAAGCCCGACCGAATTATATTTTTCAAGTTTGAACTAGACTTGAAGTAATATTCAAATCAAGATCGAGTTAACTCGATTAAACTCAAATCATAATAAAAAATTTTCAAATTTAAGATTAATTAGTTAGATTTATTCGAACAACAATTATTAGCAAATTAAATACAAATAATCAAATTAAAAAATATAAAACAAGAAACATTTGGAGAAATGACTTGCATTTCACAGCAATTTATTTAAGTATACATTGCTAAAGAAAGAATAACGAAACCATCAAATTTTTAAATTCAGCAAGCCTATGGGAATGCTCACTTTTCTCAATAATAATTAATTTTGATTAATAAAAACAAATTTGCAAAAGTTACTAACCTGAATTCCACTTTACAGCTTTGGCTTGAAGGTTCTGCCGAAGACAAAAGAACACCCCGCCCTGAGAACCATAAGAATTATTGCACATGCAATTTGTAGATCTGTAGGAAGAATAAATTGTTCTATGCTTGGTTAGTGTTCCGCACTACTCCCTGAATCAACTATTTGGAATTTTAGTGTTGTTAGAACTCCTTAAAGGAAATGAAATTATCAAAATAAAGCTTCAAATGAAAAAGTTGTTGCAGTAAAAGGTCGAAGGCATATGACAAAGTAAGGATGCTGGAAGGAATGGCTGCTCTGCCGGGATGGGATCGAGATTCGGGAGAGAGAAAGTGAGAAAGGGGGGTGCTGCTATAAATAAGGAGAAGGGGACATAAGATTGAGAGAGCTGATAAGGTTTTCAGTTTAGGTATACATATATTAAGGCTAAAATCATAATTTTCTCATTAAAATAATAAAATATATATTAAAATATAAAAGCTCAAATAGTCTCGCAAGTTACTCGAGTCAGATATTAAAATGTTCGGACTCGACTCATTCAATAAATCAAGTTATTCGAGTTTGAATTTGCTTCGATAATAATCAAGTTGAATTCAAGTTTTTCTTGAATCAAATCCGAACAGCTTGCTAACGGTCAGAATCCAATACTAGACCGACTTTGCATGGGTGGTCAGCAATCCTAGAGAATGATCTACAGTCTAAAATTTTCAGGACATATCCTTTATAAATGGTCCAACTTTGCATGGGTGATGTGCGATCCTCGAATATGATATACAATGATATACGGTCTAAAATTTTCAGGATATATCCCGTATAAATGTTCCGCAATCCCAACTTTAGGAACGCACCATATTCACTCCTAAAATTCATATATTTAAGCTCTCAAATGCACTTGATAGATATTGGTCTATATTCTTTTATTGGTGACGGTAGTCAATATCATTCAGAAAGAAGGAAAATATAAAAGAGGTGCATAAGAATGAGATGTGAATAATAGTCCCAAATGAAGGATTAATTAGGCCTAAATGTTGGAGATGAAATATCTTAAATTAAACACCTCACAATCACGTAACTGTTACAGTTCACTGAAACCAGGTTGGGTCATCAATTATGAAGGGTTTTTTTTTTTTTTTTCTATCAGTCTTAAAATCCTGGTAAGTAGCAAACATTAAAATGGGGTATCAAAAAGTTCTAAAGTTCGTATTTTACTGCAAATTAAAAATGAAACTCAAGCTTTATACCAGGCAAGAGCAATGACGAGTAGATGAAGTGGTGTAGACAGATTGAGGGAAACTGTGAGCACTAAGATCCAGCATGCGAAGTAGCAAAAGGGAGCTGTTTTACACTTTTACCTCAAAAACCAATCTTCCAAAAGCAAAGACATGAATACAAAACCATCAAAATGATGGTAACACAATGAAATTAGAAAGAGACCTCCCAGTTTCATATGCTTAAGACAGGAAGAAAAACAAAACAGCATCCAAAAAACACCCTTTTAATGGAGCAGATGGGATGCAAAACCACATATTGTACCTTCAAACAACCTTATTGTCAAAAAATAAACATATAAAACATAAATCCGCTTACTCACAGAACCTATTAGAACTAAAATATTGCAAAAACATTATCCACGGATGTTATTAATCCAAATTTGTTTAATATAGGTTCTCAGTTTAATCTCAGCAAAGTGAAGTAAGCAAGAAAACAAGGAAAGCAAGAACAAGAAACAAACACTTAAGCTAGCGATTTATATGGCTAAGCCTTGTCGGTCTTCTTCTGTTGATTGTCAGCTTCGGTCTTCTGCTTTGGAACAGGCTGAATTCTCTGGTAAGGAGTCCTAGTCAATGTCTCTCCCCTCAAGGCAGCTACATATCGATCATTGGTATCCTCTTTCCGCTGGAGCTCCCCAAGGTATTCCACTAATCGCTCTAGGTTTACTTTTCCCATCATCTGATTAAAAAAAAATTTAACAACAGCAACCCTTGGTGAAGTACAAAGCCATTATTTCCCAACCTAATTCTTTGAACATTCAGGGACATGAATTTTAACATTTTGCAGTTGGATGAATTAAATTATGTAAAATATTTAATTGATAATTGATCGAACAATTAACCAGGGATCGAACTCCAGAGGTGATTAGAAAAAACAGGGGGAGCTTCCAAGGGATTCGGGGCGGGCCTTTTGGCGGAGATGGGCCTCCAACTGAGGGTTGCGGGAGTTCGTGAGCTGCATGACGCCGTAGCCTATGACACCCGGAACGACGCCGCATATGGCTGCGAAGGCCAAGAAGAACGGCTTCGAATCCCTTGTCCTCCTTACTAGCCACCGCCATGTCTCGCTCTTTTCCCAGAGTATCGACATTTCCCTCTCTCTCTGATCTCTCAACGGCTGGTTCTCTAACAACCAACGCCAGAAGGCCCAGACATTTGCTAATTCCAAAGCCCATATGTGCCTTTTTCTCTTTGTTGGGCCCATAGGTCTTTTCTTTCCCTTTTTTTTTTTATTTGAAATGGAAATTGAGAGATAGAAAATAAGAATAATTTCAAAATAATTTTTAAATTATAGTAAAATATTAAATATGATATTTAAATTTAAAAATTTATGATGTAATATTTAATTATAAATTTATTAATTAATATGATATTTAAAAGATTTTTTTTATATAATATATTATCATTTAAAATTAATCAAGTTAAGAGTTAATATCATATAAACTAATAGATTTATAATTTAAATATTACATTAAAAATTTATAAAATTTAAATATTATATTAAATATTTTACTAAAATTTAAAGATAATTTATAATATTAATCTTAAAAAATAATTTTATAAAGGTTAGTAATAAAATTATAACTTTTCATAATTAGATAATCAAAATGAAAAATAATCAAAATTAAAATGACTAAATGTATAATTTATATAATCTATTTATATCCAATTGACAAAAGTTCACACCGTTCTTCAACTGTAAATAAAAACGTTTCTTAACGAATTAAAATATACTAGTACACCCATAATAAAACTTTTCATGGATTAATAGAATAAACCATGACTCAATTTGGGTCAGAATTAAATAGCAGATAAGGAATATATCACAACCAAATAATTGACCCTACTTTGGAGTAACACATTGATTAATGTCCAATGTCTATATATACATATATATGTATATGTTTAATTTTTATAATTAACTAAATATGATTATATTAATATCAATACATTATTAAAATATAAAAAATAAAAATTATTTAAATTAACCATTATTTTTTAATATGATCTAATTTAAAATTAATTCAATACAATTTTATAAAATATTTTTTCTTAAAAAATATCTCCGAGAAGCAACAATCTAGAATGTGTATATATATACTTATGTTTGGTAGATGGATTCTTAGCTTCGGGATTAATGAGAAGGTGAAAATTCAGATGTAAACGAGCGAATCCCCCTGTACAATCAAGGTAGTATTTTAATTATAATTTTTTTTACTATAATATTATAATTATTTAATCATAATAAAAAATTATATGAAAATTTATCATTTATAGGAGTGGATTTCACATAATATTTTGGTAAATTTTGCATAATTTTAAATTTTAATTAATAAATTATAATATAATTACTGTAGGTGATATGTTTCCTACAATCATATGCAGTATATATCCACATTAATTATATATAATATTATATTATAAAATATATAAATACTTGATAAAATTTGTCCCATAAATGCTTTTGTAGACAAATTATATTTTGACAAATAAGAAATTACCTCAAATGATTTACTTATATGAATGACTTTTAAAATTGTTATCAACATATTCTAATTTGGATAAATTATCTTTTTAAATGAATTTTTTAATAATTTAAATATAAATCTTTTTAAATTTAAAATTTTCAAATATAAAAATATATTATCCTTTTAAATTTAATAATTTTTATTTTTATTTTTAAATTTAAAAATTATAATTTTTGGAGAAGATGGCTTAATAGTAGGGGACTCTCACCGCTGCTTAATATTTGTCTAACGATTACATATTCTCTGAAGTCAAACATTTATCTTTTACTTGCTTTTTTTTTTTTTAATAATACACATGAGAAGTTGTTTTAGTCAAACTTCCAATTTAAATAATATTAGAATTGCAAATAAGTCACTTTTAAATTTAAAAAATAGTAATCAATTTGAAAGTCATATATACAATATCTATGTTAGTTGTCATTGAACTTTCATATAAATAAATGAGTCCTACATCAATTTGTTTTTCAATTTGTAACTTTTCTTTTAAAGATTTATTATTTCTGTGATTTTGTTATTTAAAGATAATATTTTTTTCACTTAATTTTTTTGATACACATCTACTAACATTTTCATATTTTATCCAGCAATTTAATCAAACTCACATAAGAAAAGCACTTTAAATACTTCTTTTATGAATATATTTTGTTCTTTTTTAAAAAAATCATATGCGTAAGTTTTTTTTTTTTTTTTTATAAATCTTCTTATATTTTTTATTTTTTTTCAACATTTTGATATAACCCTTCTATGCAAATACTTTTGTTATAAGAAGTAAGTAAATTGTATCTTATCATATTTTGCTGTCATTATTAAATAATAAAATTTTCACTCGCTATAAAATTTAGATACAACACGTGTAACTATACATAATTGCTAATTTTTTTTGCGGCATGTTAGTCCTGACTTTGTTGAGGTCATTGTCTAGCTGCTAAATAATAGAAAAATTATAGATCTTATTATTTCTTTTGTTTTGGTTTTTTTTTTTTTTAACAAATGAAAGTGTTACATAATGATTTTTTTACACGTAAGTGTTATTTTTCATAATTTTTAATTAGATGAAAAGTGGATAATGAAAATGAAACAAAGATATAATATAGATTTTACTACTACTACTACTACTATATTTTATTTTTAATTATTTTCTTTTTAATTAAGTTTTGTCTCAAGATATTTTTATAAATCTATCAAGGCTAAAAATTGATATTTTATTTTATTTTTAAATTTACAAACAATAATGAGTACACTATATTTAATCTCTGAGAAAAAAAGTACAAAGTATCTATCATAAAAAAGAAAAAAATTAATTATTTTTATTTTTAAAATTAATAAAATTGATGATATCCTTAAAATACTTTAATTTCATTGTTTTTAAGATTTTTACATAGTAATATGTCATAATCCTACACTTTTATTTACACTAAAAAATGATATTAGATTTTCATCAAAATTGATAAAATGATAATTTCTTTTAAATATATAGTAATTGTTGGTATATGCCCTAAGACCAATTAGATTGGTTATGAGATACATATAATATTATAAATTTTTATTATTATCAAAGGCATTCTTTATCTATGAGATGGTATGCACATTGTTATAACATATAAATTCGTAAATTTATAACTAGATTTAATAATAAGAGTCACCACCAATCTTTTTTTATATAGGTGTGATTGATCACCTAATAAATCTATCATTTTAAGGAACTTTTAAGTTTGACTAAGGGTCCATAAAAATAGGTTCTGACCTTTTGAATAAAACTAGATTCGGGAGTTCGATTACGTGTGTGAAAGATTATAGCACCCTCAAAAAGCCCATTCTAAAATTGTACCATTAAATTTGGAATTATTCTAACAATTATCTTGGTTCTAATGATTTTTATTTTAATGTTTAGATATTACAAATAACTTCTAAGATTTCTTCATCAATCTAAAAGAATTTTTAAAAAATTTTTTCACTTCAATTTTTCATCATTTAGGACAAATTTAGAAATTCTCTTTTTTTTGTTTTTTTATCTTCGAAAAGAAAATAATATGATAATTATTTTTGAAGTTTCATTTAAATTTTTTCATCATTTGGGACAAATTTAAAGATATTTCTCACCTAAAATTTCTTAGGAAATTTACCATTTGAAATTTCTAAGCTTCTCATCCTTGAATAATTGTCAAATATTTTCAACCAAAAACTTTTTATTTGAAAAAGAATACAATTACTTTTATTAAAATTTCATCTAAATTATTTGACCATTTGAGACAAATTTAAAGAAATTTCTCACTTAAAAATTTTTTAAAAATCAACCATTCTTGACTTCATTTTATTAGAGTTAACATATGTTTTTAAAGAAAAATTTATTTAAATTATATGATAAAAAATGCAAAAATATTGAATTTATAAATTATTTATTTTATTAATTTTATTATTAATGAACTTATAAATAAAAAAATTATTGATATCTAATGTTTCTAAGTAAACCAAATGCATCTCTAATTAAACTTTAAATCGCCTTATAGCATGTCACTAACAATATGATATACATAAAAAAAATCTCATGAAATTAATGGTTTTATGACTATTCAAATTATGTACAATAAGACAATGGGCCACCACGTTAAAACCAATATAATTAATAAAAGAATAATAGCAAGCAATTTCTTTATGAGTAGCCTACCTGTGATGACAATCTGAAGGGTTTACTTTTATTAAAAGCTATGTTGCCAGCCCATTGGTAGCATCCAGCCTATGTCATCAACACGTCGCTGAACAGACTTCAAATGCATATTTAATGATAAAACTTTCTAGCATTAGAAAACATGGAAGCAAGTTGCATTATGGATGGCCGTGAAGCATCTTTCAGTAATTGATCAAGCTTTCAAATAAGATGACCAATTGATGATTTAAGGAGGTATTCACAGACAAGAGTGTTGCAGGCTTTGAAGTTGATGAGAAAAGTAAGCATCAGGTATAAAGCTTTGGCTAAAGCTTATGTGTTATTGCTATTGTCGAGATCATTGCTGGATTGAGAGTTTGGGTTTGAGGTGGGTTAGTGATTTTGGTTATTTCTTAGCTTACTGATTTTGATAGTGGGTGATCAATGATGGTGATGAGAATGGCTTTGGATTGCTATTATAATACCTATAGCATGGCTATTGGTAGGGGTTCAATTAGTAGTTTTCCAATCCCCTGGTTTGACAAACCCCGCATAAAAATCTTAAGAGCTTTACACCCTCAAATATTTTGCTCAATTTTCCTCTCTAATTACTGTTGATTTCTTGTGTGTCCTTTTGTTAATGATTAACAAGTCTATTTATAGGTGAGAATTTCAGTCCAAACAATACTTCAACTCATATAAAACTTTTAATAGAGTCTATCTAATAATTGGATTATGATTGAATTTTATTTTTTAAAAAACTTTTATCCAACCAAACAATCCTTTTTCAACTAAGTCAATGCCATTTTTTATTTTTTTACTTAAAAAAACAATAAAATAAATTGTAAACCCTAGACAAAATAGGGTATCTAAAAATAAACAATAAATAAAATAAATAAAATAAATTTTAAATCTCAGACAAAATGTGGTGTCTAAATACATGATTGATATTACTTACTTCTTATAACAAAGTTCTTTGAATAAATATGTTTTGTAAAAGAATTACAATGAGATTGTAATTATGATATCATT